CGATACGTTCCTCCGAAACGTCGGTTAACACCACATATACACGGTGCCAAATCCCAAAAGACTGCTTTCTTCATAGTCACCGCCGTGAAAGCCTCAAATCTTACATGATATTAAACTTGGTTTCACCTCCAGCGACAAAAAAAAAACACAATGGAGTAAGTGCCTCTGCAGTACAAGAGATCAGGTTGCAAAGTTATTTATCTGGTGACAGTTTCTCGCCAGTGCCTGGAAAGTCATAACATTTCTTTTACACGAATCTAACGCTTCCTTATCGAAATGCACTGGACATTGTGAAATATAACATACATGGAATACTTGCATATAGGAATACTGATGGTAGGGAAACTTGAAAGAAAATTCTGTTTCCAACAGAGATACTTGTATTCAACCTCATGTCTTTGCTCACAACTTACACTTGAAAGCCACACATAACACAGTTTTTCAGTTAAAGTATTATAAATCATGTATAATAAGCAATCATATTCATCTTCCCTTTTATTATTAATTTCATTAGAATGACAGAACTTGAGAATGTGGTTAATATTAAGATTGCATTTAATGATATATGAAAATTTGATATATTTATCTTCACCAGTTCAGTACTGGACAGGATTATATGGCAAAAATAATATCTTACAGTTCTGTAAGTTAAATTAATTGCTGTAATTGGATTTCATTACAGAATACTTAAATAATTTCCCAAATTGAATTTTCAGACTCTTCTTTTCTTCCTCTGAGGGTAAGATCCACTCCACAAGATCAAATATTAGTTTGGAAGAGTGTCATCTTCTGGGACATAACGCCGTGTAGCCTGATCAAAGTCAGCAGACATTTTGGAGGAATGTCTTACCTCTACCCTCAAGGTCGAAGAATAAGCAGAGTAAGAAACCAGCATGAAGTGGGTAGCAAGTAGAGCAAATCCTATAAATATATGTTTCATCTTGAATCAAATTAGGGCTAGCAGGCACATATGTACAGTCTCTGTCCATTAAGGAGTTACAGGTGGTCTGGTAGCCATGTAATGAGATGTAAGACATCAGTGAGCTGGTCCATGTGAAGTACCCCCATCATCCAGCCAGCAGCTACCAGACAGTTTGGCCTCTGGCCTGACACACCATTCAGCCACTCTACGTCCCCTGCCACTACGTACTCCCTGCAACTGACAATTTCACAAACTGTGCTGAAACCAATGAGATATGGTAAGCCAATAAAGTGAGGGACTCGTTCTAACCTGGCAAGGGCGTAATGGTTCTTGGCCCCACCCAACTTCATAGTCCTGTTCAACTTGTACCACAAGATTGTTCCCTGTGATATGTAGTGATGGAAGCATGAAAGGTCACCCATTTCTATCTAGTAGGCCTGTAGGGTTTAAAATGTGTGCATTCTCAACTCTATACCTCCACATATCTTGGTGGTGTAGTGCACAGAGGCAGGGAAATTTAGTGTCTGCCATTTGTAATGTCAGTACCCGCCTCCCCCCCTTCTGCTTGCTATAAACACTAACCCTCAAAGAGGTATGTATTTCTTTGTAATCATTTTCAAATCGTTGCCAGTAAATGACTGAATTATTGCAATCAATGGGCCTCCTATCCACTGGGTACATGGGCCCTTTTCCATGGGTAAAGCAGATGGGGTGTGAAGCTGAACACTTACCTCCTTCTAGTTCCGAGGTTATGACTGGTAGAGCTAGATTCCACTCCACATGCATTTTCATAGTGTAGTGCTTAATTAATTAATTAATTAATTAAGCACAGTGACAATTTTACCTTTACCTTAATTGCAAGAGAAATATAGTCCACCAAAGAACTTGCTCCATAGCATTATAACTGCCTTCCTTAATCTTACAGCGATGTACAAGAAAAAAAAAAAGATAAACCTGTACATAAGGACTGCACAGTTAAGGAGTATAAGAGACATAAAGGTAAAGCTTCAGAAATTCTAAGCATAACAGATAATTATGAGTGAGAGGATGGCTTCACTCTCCATCTGTTTTTACCTCCTGAGAAAGACACTTTGGTACCAATTGAGAAGGAGACCTTCATTTCCAGTTCCATTCTAAACATAGTGAATCCCTCTTCCAACAGTTGATTATGGGTCTTCCACTCAATAGGACATCCTTTGTTCATTGAACTGGCATGGCTCCTGACAGAAAAGCTGTGAAATGTCAAATGAAAAAACAAATGAAGACAATCCTAACGAAACATAGTACATAATGATAAACCACTCACAATGGCATTGGATAAGTCCCAACAAGCTCTCCATCTGCTATGTTGAAAACAGCAAGCTTGGAATTCTTCAGACAACTTTCCCACATTGTTACCAACACATATCTTGCACCACTGGCTAACAGAACCACGTCTCTGTATTCAGTCCTGAAACACTTGATCTGTGCACAAGACACCAGGTCCAGCACCACTATCATTCCATCCTGAACATACATAATATGCTTTTCCTGCAAGAGGAACTTCCTCAAAGAGACTTCTTTATCGACTGCTATGCTGAGATCAGAGGCTTCAATTGTATCGATGTCACCATATGCGGAGCCATGCTGGACTGGCCAAGAATACAGTCGGATACTGCTCTGGTCTGCAGCAAGCAGGGAGTTCCTGAGTTCATATGGCGAGTTGTGGCTCCCGGCAGGCAGCAAGGTAACCTGGGACACCCACCCACTGGCAGTTAAGGTCTCAAGCAACTGTCCTGATCCCAGACACCACAACTTTATTGTCCTGAAACATGAACTGTACTAAAATCCTCTCGAGCGATCAGATGTGTTGGTATTGAGCTAATGATAACATTTCAGAGATCTCCACCCTGATGATGGAGACAGAGAAGATCTAAACTCTCACTGTTAGTATCATATTTTATGAGCTATTGTTAGGCATATGCAGTAGGCCTATTTGAACTCAAAATATAGACACCCCAACTGAAAGTCTCTGTAATAAATTGTTACTTCACTTTTTAAACCATCTCCCAGGAATGAAGACCTAGAGACAGGGTATCATAGCCTTCTCTTCCAATCAAAATAACCAATTATATAAATTTAATGATCCAGGATAACTCAGTCACTAATTTTACTGGATACGTGCTGGACAACTGGGACTCAATGCTCTGAAAGGAATTTTTACTTAGTAACCAAGTCCAAACCAGCTCTGGGATCAACCCAGCATCCCATCAGGTAAATACCAGGTGTTTCTGAAGGAATAAAGTGCCCGGAGAGTAAAGCTGTTTGTTCATGTCCATGAAATGCAAACTGTATGACTGTGGGAAGCTTCGCTTCCACACCCCCATATATCTTCATGAAATGGCGCTTGTTCATAGGGACAAAATTTATCACACCCTGAGAACTTAATTGTGTCTACCCAATCAAAGCTACAAACAGAAGTATAGATATGTTATCTATGATGGCTAACCTGTCCCGAGAACCACTACACATGAGGTTGAGTTCTGGAGCAACACAAAGGCACACAACATTGTCTCTGTGTCCGACATAACACTGAAGAAGGCTTGCCCTGACCTCAACTTCATCTAGCAGCCAGGTAGTGATGGCCCCATCATAATGACCAACTCCCAGAACATGGTTGTTAAACGACACACTGAGACAAAATATTTCATACGGCACATCGAACACTGCAGCAGGCTTAAGGTCCTCCACTCTCCACACTCGGATACACTTCTTGATACCTGATAAATGGAAAATTTATAGTTTACAGTGATTATTCTGGAAAAACAGTAGTGTCAAACTTGTTAAAGAAGTGCCAAAGAGAACACTGTACCTGACTGAGATTAACCCTCTGCATGCATAATCTGATTTACCAAAAATACCTTCTTTTGTCTGTACAGTATCTGTTATGTTGGCAACTCTCAAATACTGAAATATAATGTTAGAGTTGGCAACATCATAGTAAACAATTTAAGAACTATTTAAGGTTATTTCTTGTTACCTAAGTGATGTTTACTGTTATGTGTAACTACAGTTACGTGTGTAACAACAGTATCTTTATATTGTTATGTGTTACTATGGTTATAAATTTGTATGTATGTAAGGCGTACTTCTGTGTCAAATTTCTGTCTTAATAAAGCAGGAGTAGAGTGAACACTGATTCTTACTTATCATTTGATCTACAGGAAACTGAAAATAACAGTATCCACAGCAACTTAATGCACAACTTACAGTGATGCAGCAACACAAAAGAACTTAAATTAACAGAGGACAGGTAACTGGTGTATTATTTCTTTCACAGAAATGTGGAGAAATATTGTTAATAACCCAGGATAAGTCAAGAAATGGGTAAATGAAGAAAGTTGCTTAATGAGGAATGTTGTAATTTTGGTTCTACCACTACTATTGTCAGGTTAATTAAATCAAGATTCAGATTAGTCCCAGAAGAAAGGAAGACAGCATGCAGAGATATCTCATAAAAGATTTAACTTGTCTCATTTTGGTCCATCACACTATTAATTACAGAGCAGATAATGAAAAGTTCAGTCCGGTGTGACATACAACACTTAAGCCCTCATTTGCCTTACATGTTTTGATTCAAAATAATCATCTTCAGAGGCGCACCACTACGATAAGGAAACACTGTCACATAATGACAATGATGGGCAATGATACTAAAAAGTTTAAATCAGAGTTAAAGAATTATCTACATGCTCATTCCTTCTACTCTTTAGATGAATACTTCAATGTAAATAGAGAATGATGTAAAATTAAGTTATATTAATTTTTAAGCTAAAATTGCCTGTACTTACGTATGTAACCTTTTGACTTGTTCTGTATCCAAAGGTACTAACCTGCTTAGGATTTATAGAATGTAAATAAATTCAATTCAATTCAATTCAAGATATTCTAACAATATGCACTTTAGATATGACTAATGCTCTCCATATAAATTTTGTCGTCATGGTTGGTTCCGATGTTTATCTTAGGCACTCACAATGGCGCTTCTTGAAGTGTAGATTTACTTATGATGAGTTTCTTTTAGTGTATTTCCTGGTTATTCTGACTGGGGTTTTTCACTGCACGGAATATGGTGTTCACTTTTCCATACAGTAGCCTCCCAATGTATTTAAAATTGTATTAAAATTTCCATGTAAACAATTAGTTATTATATTAAAATATCTTGAGCCGACATTGGGTCATGTTGTTTTCCTCCTGATGGTGGGAGATGTCGTTTATTTCTCTTGGTTTTATGTTCTTATTATTAGTAGTGTAGTTCACGTGCGTGCTGTGTCGTTTGTACACGTTCGTGTAATTGGAAGTAATTCAAATTAAATAACAGAGTTTTTTTTATAACTATACTGACAAATCAAAACCCAACTGATGAGGAAATTAAGAGGAGATTGAACTCGGGTAATGCTTGCTACAATTCAGTCCAAACCCTTTTGTCTTCTTCTCTGCTGTCAAAAATCATAAAAATTAGAATATAGAAAACTATAATTTTGCCTGTGGTTCTGTATGGGTGTGAAACTTGGTCTCTGACATTAAGGGAGGAACATAGACTGAGGGCATTTGAGAACAGGGTGTTGAGAATATTTGGACCAAAGGATGAAGTGACAGGAGGTTGGAGAAAACTGCATGAGGAGCTTCATAACTTGTACTCTTTTCCAAGTATAATTAGAATGATAAAGTCAAGGAGGATGAGGTGGGCAGGGCACGTGGCACGAATGGCGGAGAAGAGGAATGCATATAGGATATTGGTGGGAAAGCCAGAAGGAAAGAGACCACTGGGAAGACCAGGGTATAGGTGGGTGGACAATATTAAAATGGATCCTAGAGAGATAGGATGGGATGGTATGGATTGGATTGACCTGGCTCAGGATAGGGATCAGTGGAGGGCTCTTGTGAACATAGTAATGAAACTTTGGGCTCACGAAGATGCTGGGAAACTCTTAGGTAGCTGCAGATTTGGCTTCTCCTCAAGATGGGCTCAGCTCCGTAAGTACTGAACAAATTTTGATTAGCGGTGACAACTGAGATAAGTTATTGGCTATTTCCACTGAAGTTCTTCATGGATATTCTCAGTTTCTTAATCAGTGTTGCAATAGTACTTTAAAATATGCCACGACCATCTCCTTGCAAATAATTTTCAGAACCTGTTCGTGATTGTCTTCTCATCTCTCAAACGTTTTAGTTTATATACTGTCATCGAATAACCTAACAAAACTAAACAATAGGGAATTTCACTGAAATGTTGAATAACTGTCACAAATTCAGGGAAGACTTCGTGCTGGTAACTAAGCAAGTGGGTGAAGTTAATACAAAGTTTGCACTGAAAAGTTAACGGTAGCAATGAGACTACTATATCAAACATGCACGCTCGTAGTTATGAGACACTTACTTCTGCGTGTGAACAAAATATTCCCTTCATTCAATATTAGTATTTTGGAAACTGTTTTGATTGAAACATTCATGAAGGACGGATTGTGCCCGTATCTCCAGAATACTTTATGATTATTAAAGAGAGTCAGAGAGATACCTAGAGAGATTCGGAATACAGCAAGTAGACCAGTATGAATGTCTTTATAACTAGGTTTTATAAATTGTGGAATAATTCAAATCTCATACCAATATTTTAAAGAATCTGGAAAGGAAATCTTAAGTACTCATATCAAACCGTACTAGTGGAAAAGATCATTCAAATGTAACGGGAAATCATTTCTTTTGTATCTTAATCCTTAACCTCCATTCTTCAACTGTTTCATTTCTTTATCTCGTTCCCTCAGTGGCTTCAGTTACGTATTTATCCTTCAGATGGAACAGTAGTGAAGACAGTGTTGCTACCCATGTTATATATATGAAAATTACTACAGTGTGAGGGAGATATAATACAGGCACATAATCAAATGGCATACATACATAATCACAAACCATCTCCTTCAAGTCTGAACAGGTTAAACAACCGAACTGGTAATGATAGTAGCACTGAAAATGATGGAGGTAAAGAAAAATAAAAAGGGTGCAATTCGATGATCTCACCTGCCAGAATGCATCCATTCCAAAAAACAACATCTCTGACGTCGGAACATTGGAAGCATTTTGGCGCAAAGTGTCTGTGTTGAAAGGCTTTTCCTTTCTTCAGACGCTGAAGCAGCCTTACACATGTTACGTAATGAAGCTTCCAGTCCTTTACGGGGGTTCCGAACCCCTCACGCAGACTCGCCTGTCGCCACACCATCTGAAGCCCACTGATGATCCTGAAATAAGAGCCAATTGAATTCTCTTTGTACTTAATACTATCAGCATTGTTGCCTAGCAAAGAAAATGCTTTTGGAATTCTACACTTACTTACTTACGCACTCACTCATGGAGCTTAGCCCTTCTCGAGGAGCTGCCAATTCTGCAGCTACTCAAAAATTTTCCAGCATTTTATGGAACCTGAAGGTTCAATACCATGTTCACAAGAGCCCTCCACTGGTCCCTATCCTGAGCCAGATCAATCCAATCCATACCATCCCGTCCTACCTCTCTAAGATCCATTTTAATATTGTTCACCCACCTACGCCTTGGTCTTTTTCCTTCTGACTTTCCCATCAATACACAGAGAATAAAAATAAATGCAAGAAAATCTAAAAAGATTACAAAGAGGTGGATATAAAATTATATAACAAGAAATATAATGGTTATTCTTATTATTTACTCAATTAATTAACTGCAGTCCAGGTGCAATTTAATGATACCTCATATTATCACTATCTGCCTCGAAACAATCTCTGTCGACAATGATGTGTTGACCCGGCTGTGCATTTTATTTGTGAACTCTGTTGAGACAGACATACTAATATATATTCTAAATGCTGAAAGATTGCCACTGCGCTCTTCAATGCTCGGTGTTGATATGAATATCTGAAACAGTGCTACATTCAACTGCCCCAGTAGGGGCTTGGTACACCACACGCAAGCAGGGCCAAGTAACATAAATAGCGGCTCCACTATAGTTTAAGTGCTTTTGCATTGAAGGGAAGAAAGCTGGTTTCAGTTATTGCCGACGTTAAAATTTTTTCACTCGAGAACTCATTACACACCTGTTCCACTGCGTACTGACACATGTAGCCCTTAACAAGGTAGCTCCATCCAGGAAACTGCAAATCTTTTCCTGCAGCTCAATAGGCAGTGCCTCCAACATCTTCATTGATCATGATCATCTTGTTTATGGATCATTTATGTGTGGATATGGTAGGTCCATTTAATCCCTGGGATAAACACATATCTGTGTACGAAATGTTCGTAATTTGAATCATATTAAAACAATATATTATATCACAATATATCACTAACCTTACAAAATTAAAGGGGAAATCATAATTTTATACTGTATCCTAATAGTAACTTCAAATAGGACACGATTGCCTCCTTCTACACGTATTCAGGATCTACGACCGTCTTCTCAATTAATTCCATTCCATTCAACATAATTTTGAGATGAAGCAGCGTCGTTAAATAACCGAAAATTAACCAGTCGTACTGAATTTCAATAAGAAAAGTAAATATATGTAATCATGAAACATTGTGACTACTATAATTGGATGGAGAAACTTTTTATTTCCAATGTAAACAGTTCGTGGCAAATTGCTTAATTTTTAATCTTGTTGCTCTCAAACGTTCTAAATGCGCCGATCTCGACAGACTGCAGACAAGTTCAAAACTGTGCAGTTGGCATAATGCTGTTAAAATTAGATGGCCAGCATCAAGGCCCCACTTGCACACAAAAATATACGGACCTCCACCCTCATACTCTATAAACAAGCATTCGCTCGGAGCGTGTTTTTGGACGAGAATAGTAAACAGAATGACTCATTCCAGTAGCTTACGCCTGACATGAAACCCGAATACTGTGCCAACGTTGGCCAACGCTATTCTCACACGATTGTAGGCCTGATAATCCGAGTGTGGGTTATTGACGACTGAAATGTCTCACGCAGTCATCGTGACAGGAAAGAGCGGGAAAGAGTTTGAACGTAGATAGAACGAAAGCCAGGAGAAGATGTAAAAACACACAAATTCTTACAAGTCTTCGAGATTTGGGTATTGCCCCATTTTACATTTTCATTTCTATTATTTATTTTTCAATTGGTCAAATGGAATTCTGGATTTTCACATTAGAAATGCGGATTTAGTATTACGTACCACTGAAAACTGAACTCTGTACATTTTTAATCCTTAGAGAGAGGTTAATATGGAAATGGAGGTCTGTTCGGTCTGTTCTGCTATTTGCCTGCCTCATTTGAAACGTCACAGAAAACTTAGGGAAGAATGTTTGACACTAGTCAGAAAAGCGGCAAATTATAACAATATGTTTTTTTTGTGCTGGGTTAATTTTCTGCTTGTATATATTTGTGAACGAATTAAGTTCCTACAGAGTGGGTTCACAAACTCTGCGATTCTGGAACCCCTTAAATATATCATTCACGCTGACATAATCCTTTTCGGTCAGCGGATAATACGATTCGGGGATACGCAACAAGTCTGGACCCTGCTTTAGAGAACCATTTGCCATTTACCGAAAAGAAGGACAGTAGACACCGTACAGACCGTACAGATACAGACCGTAGAGACATCAACCCAGCGCACGATTTCAGTGTGACCAACTTCTCGACTATTTGCCCTGCATCTGCTATTGTGCTGCTCTCTATTAATATATTGCTGATAGGAGTTTGAGTGACGGCTTTGATGCACACGAGGGTATTTGTGAACGAAAGGAAGCGTTATAAATTTTAAAGTTTCACTCCTACCGAAGGTAATCCTGGTTTAATTGTGGTTCTTACAAAAGTCTGTTTAAAATTATAGAGGTGTTTTGTAAGAACCGTAATTAAAGTTATATGTAATGTAATTTAATTTTTTGGGGGGCGCTGGAATGAAACCTGCTACCATAATGGCCTCATTTTCTTTGGATGATGTACTTCGTTTCTGATTTTGTTTCTAACGGAACCAGAAAGTAATTAAATTATATTAATGATGCCATTTTTTGGTAATAACCATTTTGTTAATGGTACAACGTAAGAGACTGGTGGAAACACTGATTAGGTTATAAATAAATAAAAAATTGCCACATTTGCAGTTACGTTCAAGGGATTAAGCGTAGCCCGACTCAGAATTTCTGCTGTTGTTTCACAGGTGTCATTACACGTTTTATTGTGGTAAATTTAAACGTATGAAGGACCTTATCGTGGTATGTTCATAACTTTTCAGTTTTACTTGTACTTATTTTTAGTAAGTAAATGTTTTTCATTATTATGTTATATCAGCAGCCGCGGAAGATGCCCTCAGACGCCAAGAAGAAGCAACAGCAAAAGAAAAAGGAAGCAGCAAAGGCCAGACAGACTGGTCGAAAAGCAGCTGGAAGCAATAAAACTGAGAATGGTTTGACTGAGAAAGAACATAGCCCTACTCCTGATCAGCCAGAAATGAATGGCAGTGGCGAGAATGGAACCGATTTCAGTACAGAAGGTAGATTTGTGAATATTTTGCTAGACTGGCAGTCTCAGTGAAACAGTATGATGGGTTTGTCTGTTGTGATTATTGCAAATCCTCAGGTGAAAAGATGGGGAAGTCACTGCTCATTTGAGTCTGTTAAACTGACTTAATATGATTTACTGTTCAATCACTGACAAAGCTGACAATGTGGTGCTGTGATTGGCATCTGTTCATTGTTCTGTCACTTGAAAAAGTTCCATATTTGATGTTTATAACTTGTTATATTTGGCTAAATGTTCTGTCATCGTGGATCATTATGAATATAAGAATTTAATTAAGGGCACCTTATATAAAGGTTGAAATACAATTTCTTTTTTCTGTTGAACTTATTTTTATTAGCTTGCTTGAAGTTTTACTCATTAAGAAAATGTGTCCCCACATTAAAGTGCATGGACCAGATGTCCCAAATGTGGTCTGGTTGATTGGCTAGCTTATCAGTGATATGTGTATTAATAGATGATTTATGTGATTCATATTATTGTCACATTTTTGGAATCCAGAAGTGTTACTTCGATGGAAATGCTAGAACAGACCGTTGCGTAAGAAGTAACAATGGCGATATTGTAATCCCAACAGTGAGCCGTTGCGTAGAGAATGCCGAAAATCCTTGGAGATGAGTCTCCACGGTTATAACAAGGGATCATTGCATAGCAGCAGCCGAGGTTATAAAAAGAGTTGAAGGCATTTGCCAAGTTAGTCGGAACCTAGACGCCATACGATATAGAAGAAGACTGCAAGAACACAGTATTGGGATAGCCGCCTCCGAAGACAGTTGAGATCCAGCCACGGCCAAGGACAGTATAAGCATCGAAGTAGAGACAGAAGTCAAGCGATACTGCTAGTAATAATAATTGTAAGATGTGTAAGTGTGAGTGTCCAATAAAGGTTTGCTAATTCCGAGACCCATGTGAAGTTAGTTGTCGCATGACATACCCAACATGTGACAACTGGTGTCAGAAGTGGGATCAGTTCAGATTACCCGGATCAAATTTAAAAGATTGGACTTGCACACATGACCGACAAGATCGAACTTGAAACACGAAAACCACCAATAACACGAGAAATGGAGTTGCAACAAATGATGGAACCCCTGCTGGCCATGTGAGAAGAAATGAGAGCTGGCCAAGAAGAAGCAAAAAGCAACCAGGCAAGGGCAGACGTGAGACATGAACAAATAATGGCCGATTGGAATGCCTGGCGGGAAGAGATGAGAGCCAGCCATGAAGAAATGGAGATCGAACTGAAACCTGAAACGGAAGTAAAGACAATGGCCTGCCTAGAGATGGAGGCACGTCAGAGAGAGAAAAAGCCAACCTCACTGTACAGGAAGCCTGAGGCAACACAGAAAGAAGAGGTCCCCGTAGTAGATGCCAAAGTAATGCCGGCCGGAGAACCGAAGAAGAAAAGACGTAGGGACTGAATACTGGCCACGGAGCGCCAGCGCCAGAAACTGAAAAATTCGACACTGGAAAATTGTGGAATCCAGAAGAAATTGGGCGTCACCCGCAGAGGGATGAGCCACCGTGCAACAGTGGCAGGGCAAGAGGAGAAGAGAAGCGAATAAGGATGTCCCGTTGTGCAACAGTGGCACAATGCAAGAGAGACATCGTAAAGTCATACATTACCCAGGAAAAGTGTCACCCACGGAGAGAACTGGTCGCTTCTAGAACTAGGACGACCCACCGTGCAGGAGTGGCACAGGGCAAGAGTAATGCCGCCGGGAAGGTTCGTGCCGGAAAAGGTGGACGCTCGGAAGAGACAATGGGCGCAACCGCAGTGCAACAAGAGGAACAAGAATCTAGCCCTACTGAAAAATGACTGGACACGAGACCGTGAAGCGAATTACAGAATCTCCTGTCCCATCACAAAACGTCAAAAACTGGACACTGGAGGGGTCGACGCCCTCCAAAACAGAAGAAAGGAAACAGCCCGTATGGGAGGAACCGGTAGTATAAACACCGGCCTCCCTAGCAAGAACAAATGAAGAAAGAATGAAAGTGAGAAATGAATGTGAGACAATGCGACCGACCATTTCTGGACTATGGGAGTGCTCGGAACGAGCACCACTGAAGAGAGGGGCGGATGCGGTAGAATGTCCAGCGCAAAAATATGCCAGCAGAACACCCTGGAAATGGAAGAGAGGAAGAACCTTTAGGCTCTTCAGGGATGAACAACCTTTAGAAGGGAGCAGTGTCACACGTTTGGAATCCAAAAGTGTTACTTCCATGGAAACGCTAGAACAGACCATTGCATAGATTGCAATAGTTAAGAGTTCATATAGTGTGAGGTGGAATCCATATTCGGTCCCCTTGGCATGTCAAGTTCCATATGTCCTATTGTACTATACTGGTGATAATGCTTATGGAGAATTTGATGGAATGAGGATTGGCAGGGGAAACCGAAGTACTCGGGGAAAACCTGCCCCAGCGCCACTTTGTCTGTCACAAATCCCACTTGACTAGACCGCAGCGGTGGGAAGCTAGTGACTAACCACTTAAGCTATGGCGCGACCTTTGAGATAATATTGGTGAATTTGGCGATAGCACTGGTATAACGTTTCACTGTAGACTCTACACTGCAACATCTCATTACATCTGTTCTCCCTTCCTGGTGCAGCTTCTTGGCATCTGCAATCTCTCCAGAATAGCCCATTCAGGTATATCTCCGACTGTGTTATCTTGGTTGCTGGAAGGAAGAAAGGAAAACTGTGCAGTATTGATTACCAAAACCGATTGATTATTCATGAATTATGTGATTATAATTGATTAGTGTTTGTCTCACACGAGAGAAACTCATCCACTTTATAAAAACAGTGATCAAGTAGGTAAGTTTTCAAAGTGGTTTTGAACTTATATAGTACCGGTATTTCTTTAAAATATCGTGGCAGATGATTTAGCAGTCGAAGTCCTGCATTGTCAAAGTTCTTGCATAGACTTGTATTACATGGGACGATATGCAAGTCGTCTTTTTACCTTGTGTTGTATGAGTGTAATCCTGAGTTGGTTGTGAAATCATTCGAATTGGATTTTATGAATATTAGAGTTTTGTATATGTACAAAGATGGTAGAGGTAATATATGTAATGATTTGAAAGTTTGTTTACAAGTAGTTGTTTTTGGGACCTGGGTCATAGCTCTTATAGCTCTCTTCTGTAATTTAAAGATCAATTTTGCATTTACAGAGTTGCCCCAAAATATCAGTTCATATGATAACAAAGATTGGAAATGAGCATAATGTAACGTGCGGACAGTCTCTAGTCCAGTCACTCTTCTAACTACCCTTAGGCCAAAACATACTTTACGTAAGTTGTTCGCTAGCTTTTGCATATGCATAGTCCATCTTAGATGCTTATCTAGCCAGACTCCCAGAAATTTTGAGTGATCTGTGTAGTTGATAACTGTCATAAATCTTTATTGGAGGGAATTCAAGTTGTAGTTTTTGAGGATGATGAAAGGCTATTGATATTGCTTTCTCTTTATTAATAGTTAATCGATTCCTCTCAAACCTCTGTGATTTTGTTTATTGTTTTATTTGTTTTCCTTTGAATTTCGTTAGTGCTATTTCCTGCTATAAAAATGCTAGTATCATCAGCAAAGAACGTAGGTTTCCCATGTTCTGTGCTGGCCTTCAGGTCGTTTCTGTATAACAGAAACAATGCTGGTCCCAGAACGGAACCTTGTGGGACGCCATAGCTGATGGGTCTCTTTCGGGATAGGTAATTAATGTTTCGATTAGTTTTTTTGCATCTGTAATTTCTACCTCTTGTTCTCCGTTTTCTAAGTATGTTTGGAACCACCTTAGTGTAACTCCTCGTATTCCCATTCTTTCCATCTTAGTTAGTTAGTTATTGGAGAGGGTGGGTTTCCCCATGCACTGAGACCTGTATTAGTTAGTTATTGGAGAGGGTGGGTTTCCCCATGCACTGAGACCTGTATTGGTCCATTGTGCTTCCCTCTATGATTTCTACCAGTCTCTTATGTCCTACCGGTACTGGTGCTTACCATCAGTCCCGCCCAGCCAGCGAGACTGGCTCTACTAGCTGAGAGGTATCTATAATGCTTCCCCCATCTACCGGAGGTATTAGTGACTGCTGTTGTGCAGGAAACGTTTGTTAATTTGGCTCAGTGACCTCCTTTGGAGATACGAGGTTCTTTTACGTGCCGTAAAGCTACGACACGGGACCCAGGGCTTAAAGTCCCTCCCTGAGGACTTGTTCCCTGAATTTTTCCGCCCTTAAAAATTCGACGACCTCCACCGGGTATTTGAACCCGCGTACTACGAGTCATGAGGTGGGAACGTTACCTCTAGACTACGGAGGCTGTTTTTCTTTCCATCTTACTTAGCAATATATCATGACCTTAGTTAAGTCTTCCCCCCTTTACCATTCCTACTTTAAAATACACTTCAGGCATAGGTGATTTATTCATTGCGCCAACCCAAAATTCAGTTGTTGTATGTCCCTGTGAAAACTGATTTGTGGCAACAGATGCATGAGATCATAACTTGAAAGATAAACATTTTCGTTTTTGAAATTGAAGGAGTATGCCATAGGCCTTCATGAATGTTTACAATATTGGTATCAGGATGTGACTAGGAGGACTTCAAATTTCTTTTTAACCAGGTAGAATTTTGTTTCTCTTTCATGTGATCGTTTTTATTCTCTCTGTAAGTTCTAATGCCCTTTTTAAGACTGTTGTATGCACTTTTACACGTATTGGTGTTTGGCACTGCCTTTTGAAGAGGAAGGCAGGAAATTTCGAGACACATTTGTAATCTGAATTTTCATCCATATGCCATCCCAGTGGTGTATTAAATTTTTGGTGCCATGTGATTATTTAGCACTTAAGAACTTAAAGAGTGCAACAGTTAAAGCATTTGGCATAAGGTCAGAATCCTCATATTGCTAGTAACTTTACTCTTAGATTATTTTCATTAAAATGTACATACTAATTTATTATTGCATTTGTATAGAGCCTCTATCCACTAAAGTTGGCACTAACTNGGATTATTTTAATTAAAATGTACATACATCAGTAGGAATACCTGGGGTGTGAAACTAATTTAATATTGCATTTGTATAGAGCCTCTATCCACTAAAGTTGGCACTAACTTCACGGACAAGCGGTGGTTGCTTGGTCACTATAGTTTGTTTGCGGACTAAAACCACAGAGTTTGTTTTGTTTGTATAGAGGCATTGTGCAGGAAGCTGGAGGCAGATGCAAAGCTCAATGCAGAGGCTCGTGCTTGCACTGGGAGTTTGGCAGTTCATCCTCGGAGTCGTGATGTGAAGATCGACAATCTCTCTATCTCATTTCATGGCCACGAACTGCTCCAGGACACCACACTGGAGTTGAATTGTGGACGACGATATGGTCTCTTAGGACTTAATGGCTCTGGTGAGCATCTCATAGTAGAGGATAGGCTGGTGCAGTAAATTAATATAAAGGCTAGTGATATGTATAAAATTTCAAAAAAAAAATCATTTGGAATATATGTGTGTTTTAAGTATACTTTTCCAGTCTCATTTTCATTATTTAATCGTAGCTATATTTTTTAGAGGGTTGGAAGGTTCACTCCTTAAGGATTCCAGTAACTGTTCAGCCAAACAGTGATACAAATCGGAAACAGATTGTTAAGCACAGTACAAAAACTTTTGATTAATTGATTAATTGTGATAACATTATTACATTTGTTCTATTTTAATTTTCTTTGTGTGTGTGCACACGCGTGTTCATATGTACTGGATTGCAGAACATGATACATTACTTAGTTCCTCGTCTAATGTGATGATATAAACCACTAATACAGATTGTAACATGAAGATCATGGGTCTTCTGACATGTGACACCGTGTAGTTTGATAGGTGGGTGTTGACATTTTGGGGGAACTTGCTCTCCCTATCTTCAGAACAGAAGCCTGGTGTCAGCTACCGGAGTACACAACAGCAATCCCAGAAGACTTTAATTGTAATACGAGTTCCTCTGGATGTCACAGATTGTTTCATAATTGTTACTGTTCAGAAGGAATAGAATTATTTTTTGGAATGATTATAATCTGTGTATCTCACTGTCCTGATTAAACTACAGGCATCAGTATTATAGACACAAATTGACTATTTAGTGTGAATTTTTGTATGAAATTCATGCTGTGAGAGATTCTCCATCTTTGTCCTCCTTACAGCTCACATTTTTTCCTTTAATATTTAGTGTCATTTGGCTGATCCGTTATCATCAGAAATACCAACTTGGTGGCACTAGAACTCTGTAAAGCAGGAAGAGTAAACTTCAGAGTTTAAAGTCTGTGTGTCAGAACACAGACACAGCAAGCTTGGATATATTTAAATCATTTGGTTGCAGGCAAATCAACTTTGCTCTCTGTGCTTGGGAATCGTGAAGTTCCAATTCCAGAGCATATTGACATCTTTCATCTAACTCGAGAGATGCCCGCGTCTGATAAGACAGCACTGCAGTGTGTTATGGAAGTGGATGAGGAGAGAATTAGACTGGAGAAGCTTGCAGAAGAACTTGTATCTTGTGATGATGATGGTAAGCAGTGTGTGATGTGATTAGGATTTTGCTTTGCCCTCCCAATGGGTAGCAGGTATGAACAGCAACTCATAAAGGATTCTCTCACTTTAGTGAGTTTTCTGGGCTGCATTTCTCTGAAGTGAACTTTTGTATTTATCTAATTGTCACATATTACATTTTATCATTCCTATGTCAATGAGATGTTGTAGATCTGAGGTACCAACTCATTGCTTTTCTGATGTGGTCTACAATAAGAATGAATAGGGCTTAGGGCAGCTTTTGTAAAGGTATACAAAATGAAAAAGTACAAATTTCTTTTCAAGAACCTGGAGTATGTAGAAGGGCAGTGTTATTTGTCACAAGCGTATGTACACCTTTTCATACTCAGAGACTCCCGGTGAAGACAAAATAATGAGAAGGTGGTATTCAAATTACAAGGGCTATTTGTAAAGTAACCACCTGTGAGCTGTTAACAAAACAAGCTGTGAGAAAAGAAAAACTTTGTTATATACAAAAATACGTACCTACTTAGGCTACTTCTCAACATAGTCACTGCCAGAATTGAGGCATATGTCGTATTGGTGAATAAGTTTTTGTGCATATGTCAAAGAAGTCTGCCGCTTGTGAGCTCAGCCACCTTTTATATTGCAGAATACTTAAAAAAAATGTTCAGGACCATTCAGAGCAAAAGGTGTGGAATCGTGAGGTCTGTTGTAGTGCTCCTCCATGACAATGTGCATCCACATACAGCTTCTTGCACCCTAGTACCGCTGGAGCATTTCAACTGCGAGTTGTTTGACAAACCTCATTACAGCCCTGATCTCACTTCAGGTGACTACCACCTATTCACCTACCTGAAGAACTAGCTGTAATCACAGTGCTTCATAAATAATGAGGAGATGATGGAAGGGGTCAAAACGTGGCTGAGCTCACAGGTGGTAGACTTCTTTGACACAGGCATAGAAAAAATTATTCCCCAATAGAACAATGTTCTAATTCTGGCAGTGATCACATTGAGAAGTAGCTTAAGTATGTACATATTTTTCTGTATATGATAAAATTTGTTTCATCATTGCTTGTTTTGTTAACAGCTCATCGGAGGTTAAGGTATTTGTATAGTAGGATCAGAATTCCAGATGTGTGAATGCCGAATAACCAAGAGTTTGCTGTATATTACAAGCAAATCATACAGCACCAAATTGTTGTAGATGCTGCTTTTAAATATCAGAAGAAACAGCAAGTCTTTGCCACCCCACTGTCACCATTATGTGACAGTACTTGCACACACTCAAGATCATGGCTAATGTTATAAGCAGAGTGCAGTTAAACTGAAGGTACTTCATCACTAGTGTGAAGGCCTGCCATCTTCATAAGCCAGTTGCATGCAAATCTCACCCTCCCAAACCAATTCCTCAAGACACGTCTTTACTCCACTTTCTTCTTAGTATATCGAGTGACCATTTTCCAAGTGGTTTCCCTACCAAAGTTTTGTATGCATTCTTTGTAGCCCTCATCCAAACCACATTCCAATCCCATCATGGCATCCTAGATTTCATTATGCTTAGGCAATGCTAAGTTACCCATGATTAAATGTAATGAGATATGAGTATTATTGTACATCATCTTTCTTGAACATTTCAGCATTTCTGTGTGTTGTCGTAATATGTATTGTCATGTAGTGTATGTAACTATAGATGGGGTTTGGATTGGTGATTGGATTTATTCACCAATTACACAGTGTGTCCAGGATCTGTTAGGACTCATTTTTATAAATTTTGCCATGGAATGCCATCTGTTGGCGAGTTGTGGCATTAAGATTCTTGAAGTTTCAGCTGTGGATGTCTGCAATTTCAAAGCGCAAGCATCGCCGCGTCATGTGTTCTGACCTTGAATGTAACAGTATTGTTCTGACGCTCGTCGGAAAATGGCGGTTGGACAGAGAGCCAACATCAAATTTTGTTTGAAGTTAGGCAAAACAGCCGGAGAAGCGTATGAAACGATGAAAAGTGTGTACGGTAGTGATAGTTTGAGTTGCTCAAACATTTTTCGGTGGTATGCTGTATTTCATGACGGCAGGGAGGACATTGAAGACACTCATGTGCATCAAAGCCAAGAACAAGTCGCACTGAAGAAAATGTGAAAAAAGTGATCGAAATCCTTGTATCAGATAGATGTGTTTCTGCAAGACTCATTGAGGAGCTTTTGGGAATACCAAAAAGTACTGTGCATCAAATGTTGACCGAGGATTTGGGTAAACAGAAGGTCTGTGCATGGTTTGTACTGCATGCACTGTCAGATGATGTAAAACATGCCAGAGTGGAACACTGCCAAGACACGTTACAGTCAGCCCAAAGTGATACAAAATTTACAAAATTGGTTGTTACTGGTGACGAGACATGGTGTTTTCAATTTGAGCCTCTCACAAAGCGCCAGAGTGCAGCATGGTTGAGCCCAAAGAAGCTGAAACCAAAGAAAGTGTGCATGCAAAAGAGTCAAGTAAAGACACTGCTAACCATTTTCTTTGATTCCAAAGGAATCATTCACAAGGAGTTTCTGCCAGAAGGTCAAACAGTGAATTGTGATTATTATCTTGGAGTCCTCAATTGTTTGTGGGCGAGAATTCTTCGAATTTGACCTGAATATCGAGAGCAAGGTTCATGGTCGCTCCTCCATGACAATGCCGCACCCCACAAATTGAAGATCGTGCGCGATTTTTGGCCAGAAAAGGGATTACAGTCCTTGATCATCCTCCGTATTCGCCAGATTTGGCTCCAGCAGAATTCTGGTTCTCAAAAGTTAACCTTTATCCTACGGCCCTTTAAATTCCAGTTGTGGCAGCCGTNAACCTGGACACACTGTATACACAGGACTTGGAACTACAAGTAATTACAATAGCTAATCACTACAGCAACTGATAAGCCTTCTCCAGCCTGCTGTGTCTTACCAGCCATTCCCTGGCAACAGCATCTAACAGTGGAGATTCTTCAGTTTCATATGCTAAAGTCCTCTTCACAGCCTCCTGTACAGAACTCATTCTCCACTGACTGAATTCCATACCTCCCAGTTATCTCAGTATGGACCACCTAGAAAACAGTTCTTCTGTTGTTGCATGCATGTATAGTGCTGCTGTTACCTAGCAACGGCTGTGTTTATAGAGTCACCGCTTAGCAAAAGGTCTATATGCCGCAGTATGTTATATATTAAATTCATAGAGACCTCATTGTTTCATATTATCCTCTTTCTTGATTTAAATTATCATTTGCAGAATCCCAGGAGCAGTTGATGGATGTTTATGAGCGTTTAGATGACATCAGTGCTGATACAGCAGAGGCACGCGCTGCCTGGATTCTTCATGGTCTGGGGTTCACGAAGGAGATGCAGGCTAAGAAAACTAAGGATTTTTCAGGTGAGTATCAAGTCATGATAGAGAAAAGTCTGCTTACCTGCAGTTCATCTATGCGTGTTTAGCAGTGCAGGTAATTGTTAACAACCTATTAAGTTTCATTGAGATCCTCGTACAAATAGTACCTGAGAGAAGAAAATGTAGTTATGGAATAAAAGTGCCATAAACAGTCAAAGATTTAGTCCTGAATATTGTGTAATCTTGTGTACAAAAGGTTTCCTGTAGCATGTTGTTTTGTACTGTATGACAATCTTGCCAGGTATATAAATTAAATTGTGTATTTTTTGTTTTATAAAACTGAGGCGTTGTCAGAAATTGCTGGTATTGCATTCAGTTTTTATAAATGCTGACACATGGAGTGCTTGAAACAATTGAGGTGGGAAAGCCAGAAAACCAGCATTACACCTTACAGACTCTCAGACTTGGGACCTTACATACAGAGGCCAGTATCTGTTACTAGATTGTTAGATCTTAATGGGATGCACTAAACTAACACTATAATGGACTAATAAGGAGGGCAGTATATCCGTTATCACCAATATCTGCTGTAACAGAGTGAAGAGGTATTCACAGAAGTACTTAATAGGATACATAGCCAGGACAAGCAGTAAACATAGAAACAGACAATGTGATTACATGAAGGTTTTTTGTTGGGGTTATTCTTTATTTTAAATCATTTTCTAACTACAAAACCTTCTTAGTTCTTCTGTATATCTAGAAATTCACAATTGTAGACAGCCAGATTTTGTTTATTATTTCTGAAATCTGTTATATCTTGGTCTGTTATAATGAGGGTTGACTGTTTAGCTGTATTTGTGTTATTGGATGAGAAATGGGTCATTCACATGCTGTCTTTTCTGTGTGTCAGTCTCAACTTCATGTATGCCAGAATGTTTATGTTGGTGACTTCTGTTCTTGCAACTGCAGCATATTTGAAACATTTTGTGTATGTATGTTTTCAGGAGGTTGGCGCATGCGTATTGCTCTGGCACGAGCGCTGTATGTAACACCCCATCTTCTGCTTCTAGATGAACCAACAAATCACTTGGATTTGGACGCATGTGTGTGGTTGGAAGAGGAGTTAAAAACGTATGTTGCATCTCTTTAGCTTACTTAATTGGCTAATAATTGAAATAACTGTGCCAAACCTGAAAACTATAGAAGACCATAAGTTTAAATTCCCCAGTTCTACTTCCTTTTACTGTAAGATATGATAATGGAAATGTACAGATCTACAGTATAACGTGGGCTCAGAACGAGATAGTTTTACCTTTGTCAGAGATGCACACCTGTAGTTCCAGCATTTTTTAAATTTAATTAATACTAGGTGTTGTTACTTGATGTGAATGAAATGTTGTAATACTAGTATTCGTCACAATCCATGTACCTTGTATTAAAAACAATTCTAGTTTTGTCTGGCATATGTGAAGTTTTTTAAGGCAAGATTGGGAATGTGGAATATATGAAATTTCCTTAGAACAGAGATCTCCATGTAGTAGAGAATACCCAGGGTCCATGCAGTGCACTACAATGTATTTATGAGGGCTGTTCACATAGTAACCTCTAGTAGCTGTTAATAAAACAAGCAATGAGAAAAAATTTCTTATGTACAAAATATATGTAAATACTTAAGCTACTTCTCAACGTAGTTACTGCTGGAATTGAGGCACTTGTCGTATTGGGGAAAAGGTATGTTCTGCTTTACTTTCATCATCTTTTTTATTATTTTGTTGTTTCTTAACATTTTCACCTCCCCTCATCACTGCAGCTGGCTTACTGTGTAGTTTGCCATGTTAGACCGTACACTAGCATTTGGCAGAATATATTTGTGTGTTCGGCAGGATTCTGCTGATAGTGAATAGCGAATGATTACATTTGTCGAAGAAATCGTGAAGGGTGGCTGCATATAACATCTAGTGACTGGGGAAAAAACAAACTATTTGCTCAAAGCATTATCAGAAACAAATATTCTTGTAATTGTCAGAGAACTGCTGTACAGTAATTTCACCTGTAAATGAGTAAATATTGTTCTGATTTAATGGGGTGAGGCTTCAAGAAAGTGTTTTTGTTTCAGGTACAAGCGAATCTTGGTGATCATATCACACTCACAGGACTTCCTCAATGGGGTCTGCACCAATATCATTCATCTCGACAAGAAACGTCTCAAGTACTACACTGTAAGGCAGTTATATTTTATTTAAGTGAGGATTCTGAAGGGGAATTTTGTGCAAAATACTATTCATTTATTTCCGTACAGGGAACGTGTTTTATTTCAAGTTAGAAAACAGTGGGACTTAGCCTGTTCTTTATGCATGGCAGTAGTTATTCTTTTTTCTTTCCTTCTCTGGTGTTTTTTTAGGGGGGTAATCATTTTTTAGCAGCTACTGTAGTAATAAGGATGTGAAGTTTTCTGTGAAAGAATGTCACAGAAACAGCTCATGAATTAAAGTGGGTGTTTAGGACTTGCATGAATTGTTGGCAGGGTTTGAAAAATTCTGGTTGCTAGATCATTTTACATCAGTGGTACCAAATTTATCCAGCATCATTTCATCCACACTGTTTCAGAATATATTGTGGCTGTTGTCTCCAGTTACGATCTATTTGACCTTAGCCTCTGTCTGTATTGAGTCCATTTCTAATGTGGAGGAATGTGTGAGCTGTATTCCACTGTCCCCTAATGGTATATTGATGGTTGGTGGCAGGGGTGACCTACAGATTGTTGAGGACTCTGAACCATAGTGAGGGTTGTGTCAGATACTTGTAGCTTTTTCAATGATGACAGAGGAATTACAGACCTCATTTAACAGATCATGTTATCATGTTCCCAAAAAACGAGCAGCAAATGAGATTTGTCAAGGCCTGGTGAACTTAATCTTTATTCAAGGATTAAGCATTTACATTGCTCCCTATTGTACAAGGTGGTATCGGAAAGTTCCCAGACTCTTATTGTTGTAACTGCCTCGGTGGAAGAAGATGAGAGGGGAGGCCAAGGTCACACTTCCGCAAGCCTGTTGCATCTGTCTGCCATGTGACATAGCACTGTGAACATGCATTGTTTTTGTGCAAGTGGTTCTTTTTTTTTTTTTTTTTTTTTCTTCGTGTTTTTTTTTGTTTGCACTTGATTGCAAAATTTGGTAATTGTTGCT